CCGATTTAGCTGAAACTTGGACTGTCGGTGGTAGGTGGTAGTGCATGGTAGGGTAGGGTAGGGTAGGGTATAGGGTAGGGTAGTGTAAGGGTAGGGTAGGTAGGGTAGGGTAGGGTAGGGTAGGGTAGGGGTAGGGGTAGGGGTAGGGTAGGGAAGGGTAGGGTAGTGTAGGGGTAGGGGTAGGGGTAGGGGTAGGGTAGGGTAGGGGTAGGGTAGGGTAGGGTGGGGTAGGGTAGGGTGGGGTAGTGTAGGGTGGGGTAGGGTAGGGGTAGGGGTAGGGTAGGGTAGGGTAGGGTAGGGACTAGGGTAGGGTAGGGTAGGGTAGTGTAGGGGTAGGGTAGGGTAGGGTAGGGTAGGTTAGGGTAGTGTAGGGTAGGGTAGGGTAGGGTAAGGGTAGGGTAGGGTAGTGTAAGGGTAGGGTAGTGTAGGGTAGGGTAAGGTAGGGTAGGGACTAGGGTAGGGTAGGGTAGGGTAGGGTAGGGTAGGGTAGGGTAGGGTAGGGTAGGGTAGGGTAGGGTAAGGTAGGGTAGGGTAGGGTAATAGGGTAGGGTATGGTAGGGTAGGGTAGGGTAGGGTAGGGTAGGGTAGGGTAGGGTAGGGTAGGGTAGAGTTAGGTAGGGTAGGGTAGGATAGGGTAGTAGGGTAGGTTAGGGTAGGGTAGGGTAGATTAGGGTAGGGTAGTAGGGTAGGGTAGTAGGGTAGGGTAGGGTAGGGTAGGGTAGTAGGGTAGGGTAGGGTAGGGTAGGGTAGGGTATGGTAGGGTAGGGTAGTAGGGTAGGTGTAGGGTAGGGGTAGGGTAGGGGTAGGGTTGAGTTCAAAAAGGGCCCAACATACAAAACACTTGAACACCCCGCAACTATCACCATCCCTTACAGTTCAATTAAAAACAGCTACCCAAATCTACCCAAATAATACAGCTAAAAATACAAGTCAATCACCCAAAACTAATGCACCCGTAACATAACATAAATCAAAACATACAGTTATCGCGTAAACCTGTACCTCTAGTCTACTATTATAAATCTTAAAAAGTCCGCCGCCGTCGGGGTTACGCAGTCGGCGTTACTCCCAAAAACGGCTATTGCAAAGCCGTCGATTGACGCAGGGGGGTGAAATTTTCACGACTCGTGAGTCACGTAATTCAACAGGTCGTATTAAATTTTGGGCTCGATTCGGCCGGGGGTGCGCCCGTGGCGCGTGCTCATCTGCGCCATAGGGTTAGCATTAGAATCGCGACCGGCGCCGAGCAGAGGGCACGTGCTTTAGGCTCAGTTGTTCGCTTAAAAAACTGAGTGAAAAGCATCAGAGCCGGCAGGTCATTGACCTTTGACAACGAAGGCCGACACAGGGCACCGCTCGCCAAGGGGATTCGCCAGTAAATACAATTAATTTGTTTTTGCAATATCTCGGCCGTTTCTGGGCCGATTTAGCTGAAACTTGGACTGTCGGTGGTAGTGTAGTGTAGGGTTGGGTAGGGTAGGGTAGGGTAGGGTAGGGTAAGGTAGGGTAGGGTAGTGTAGGGGTAGAGTTATAGGGTATAGGATAGGGTAGTGTAGGGGTAGGGTTATAGGGTATAGGATAGGGTAGTGTAGGAGTAGGGTAGGGTATGGTAGGGTAGGGTAGGGTAGGTTAGGGTAGGGTAAGGTAGGGTAGGGTAGGGTAGGGTAGTGTAAGGGTAGGGTAGGGTAGGGTAGGGTAGGGTAAGGTAGGGTAGGGTAGGGTAGGGTAGTAGGGTAGGGTAGGGTAGGGACTAGGGTAGGGTAGGGTAGGGTAAGGTAGGTTAGGGTAGGGTAGTAGGGTATGGTAGGGTAGGGTAGAGTTAGGTAGGGTAGAGTTAGGTAGGGTAGGGTAGGGTAGTAGGGTAGGTTAGGGTATGGTAGGGTAGGGTAGGGTAGGGTAGGGTAAGGTAGGGTAGGGTAGGGTAGGGTAGGGTAGGGTAGGGTAGGGTAAGGGTAGGGTAGGGTAGGGTAGGGTAAGGGTAGGGTAGGGTAGGGTAGGGTAGGGTAGGGTAGTAGGGTAGGGTAGGGTAGGGTAGGGTAAGGTAGGTTAGGGTAGGGTAGTAGGGTATGGTAGGGTAGGGTAGGGTAGAGTTAGGTAGGGTAGGGTAGGGTAGGGTAGGGTAGTAGGGTAGGTTAGGGTAGTAGAGTAGGGTAGGGTAGGGTAGGGAAGGGTAGGGTAGGGTAGGGTAGAGTAGGGTAGGGTATGGTAGGGTAGGGTAGGGGTAGGATAGGGTAGGGTAGGGTAGGGTAGGGTAGGGTAGGGTAGGGTTGAATTGAGTAACATCCTAAGTTACAAAGGGCTCGAAAAACTCGCATGCATCACCATCATTCTTTACAGTTCAATTAAAAGCAGTTACCCAGTTCTAAACAAATAATAGGTACCAATAAAAATGCAAGTTTCTACACCCAAACTAATGCATCCGTTGATCATACATATCAAAACATACACTTATCGCGTAAACCTGTACCTCTAGTGTTTCTTCAATTAAATTTAGCCTTTTGTTTCAATTCTCCCATAATTTACCTTGAATCTCCCATTTATTTCATCACCTTCATCGTCTCATTTCTCATTTTATCTGTCGCCTTCGTCTTTCTGGCAATCTCATTCTTTCCCTTGCCTTTTTGTCTTTTTATTTTCACATTAGGTATTTAATTTCCCTCTAAACTCGCCCTGGTGGGGTCTGTTTATAACGCGACCTGGTGGGGGCGGGGGCTATTTTTTGCCCCCCTCGTATCTCCGAAACCACTTGACGGATCCGCAAAATGCAAACGGTGTTCGAAAACCTGGTCAAATTTGGTGAGAGAAATCCAATTTTATTGGCCTGGGGGTCATCGATGACTTCACAGGTCAGGTCAAAGATAAAATGTTTTGCCGGTCGCGGGTCTTCTAGGGAATGCGCTATAACATCGAGTAAAACGCATTTTATTGAAAATCAGCGATAGGGTGTCAGTTGCCTAGTAAGTACATAGGTATGTTGCTATTAGAGGTCACTGATAGTACCAGGTCAGGTAACAGCCCAGTAAACATGCCGACGTCGGCCCGACGTCGTCCGACGTCGGGGTGACGTCGGCAACTCGGCATCGGCATGCCGACGTCGGCCCGACGTCGGTCCAACCTCGGCACGACGTCGGCTGGATGTCGGATATGCCCGCATGTACCGACGTCCAGCCGAGGTCCAGCCGACGTCGGGCCGACGTCGGACCGAGATCAATTGCTGAGGTCCAGCCGACGTCGGGCCGACGTTGGGGCGACGTCGGACCGACATCGGCCGCTGTTTTGACCGTTGAAATAATACAAAATACATGTTTCGTGTTTCATAAAGAGCTTCTTCTGTATTTAAAATATCCTCAGGAAACTCAAATCTTCCTCCACGCCGCAACCCCCCGATCTGACTGGACGGGAAACTTTATCCCATTTGGGATTGCCCGTAAGCCGAGCTCGCCCGTAGCCGGGTGCGGTGAGTGCTTGGGGGCTGCTCGGCCTATCCTTTGGTCAGGCTCAGCCCCGGCAACTCACCAGGGCCGGGCCCAGTTCATATAGAAAGGCCAGTCGGCAAGTGTCACTTTGCCAAAGTGCCACTAATCAAAGGGACACTTTGGGAAACGTTGGTGCAGGTGTGTAAGAGTGGCTATATGAATCCATTGTGGGGTCGCCCTTTCCAATAAGTGTCACGTAACAGCAATGGGACCAGGGACTCTATATGAACTGGACCCAGGGTGCTCGCCAAGAAGACCAATGTCTCCATCCTATGATCCTTCCGGCTCTGAAATGGTCTTGTCAGACCGAAAGGGCATAAGACAACAAAACAAACCAAGTACGTTAGATGGCTGCGTGGTGTAGTGGTTAGCGCACTAACCTCGCGTTCGAATGACACGGGGTTCGAATCCCATCGCCGGCCGGTGCTTTTGGCGTGCTGTCCCAGTAAACATGCCGACGTCGGCGACTGGGGGGCTCGAATCCCGCCGCCGGTTGATATTTTTGGCGCGTTGTCCCAATAAACATGCCGACGTCGGCCCCGTCGGTCCAACGACAAACGATCTCGTCAACCTCGGCAAACGACCTCGGCCTGACGTCGGCTCGACGTCGGCTGGACTTCGGCTGGACGTCGGAACATGCGGGCATATCCGACGTCCAGCCGATGTCGGACCGAGGTTGAACCGACGTTGGGCCGACGTCGGCATGTTTACTGGAAGGTCAGGTCAACAAGGGTCACCACATGAACCCAATTTTACTAGGGCTGTGCGATGCATGTTTTATGACCAATTTTTCATTTCAAACTGAATGGTGTTGGTTATAAGACCATCGGGAACGGTTTAGGTCACTTCCTGGTGGAGGTTAGGTCAATGTCAGGTCAAAAAAGGTCAAATTTCAAAATTGATATTTTTGCAGAAAATGGGTAGGTATCGATTTGGTGCAGCTCGTCACGGCGAGTCTAATGGTGGTTTTTGTTTTGCGTTACGTGGTCTAGAAATGCAAAAATGGATATTGAAAATTTGACGTCATCTATTTTGAAGTTTTTTCGCTATAACTTGGCCAAAAAAGAGGTATCGATCTGAAATTTGGTATGTGAATAGAAGTCGGTAAGGACATACGTGTATGTTCAGGGTTTTTCGAAATCTGATTGTTTTTCGTTGCAAGTATATTCAATAAAATATTTTTATGTTATTTTTGGGGATCAAAATATAGACAGTTCAAAATTCCAAGATAGCGTTTTTTTTAGCCCTGGCCATTCCACACCTTTTATGTCTTAAACGTTTTTTCCGTATCTTTAAAGCTATAGGCCTGATAGGCCTGATCTTCCCGCGAAAACTTTTTTTGGGTCAAAAACGGCAGAACATGATGTCACTCTGACGTCATTTGCGGCCAACTTATCAGGGGCCACAGGGGGAATAGTCACCCAACCACCAGGACGCGGGATAATGTTATCTCTTATTTATTTCCTTTTTTTCATCTCCCATCTCCAACGTATTTCGTTTTATTAATCATTTATCTCAAAATTATTAATTCCTTCATCTTTTATTTCCAATTTTCTTCAATTATTTCATCTTTCCATGTCCCATTCTCTCCACTTCCCACTTCTGACACCTCCTGTCCCGCCGTTCTTGTACTCTTGTCAGACACTTTTCTCGCCAAAAACACCATCTCAACACACAGGCTACAACAATCTATACTACTATTTGAACAGGATCCATCTGTTTGTTTGTTTGTTTGTCCGCCACGTCGTGTAGTGGGTTCAATTTAGCCGGCCTACAGGGCAGACGGTATATCTTAGGGGGTTGAAATTTGCACACCTTATAGGTGACAGAACGGGTCAGCGCCTTTTCTAGGTTTCGGCTCGCTGAGGTGCACGGTTCGCGCGTGGCGGGCGCCGGAAGAACGCCAATGAAATTTTGATCGGTTCGTAGATCTTCATTGAGAGCCGGGGTCGACAAACTTTGTAAACTAAATGCATGCCGATCGGCGGCGAGTGCCTCGCATTGGCGGATGGTGAAATTATTGATTTTGATAAATGGTGGCGAAAAAATGTGTTGATTGTTGCTAAATGGGTACAGTTTGTGATAAGATTGTACAAATGAACCACGTTTGCCGCAATGCGTCACATTGGTCACAGGGTGTCATTTTTGCCGCAAATCACACAGTTTTGTCAAATATGGTCCGATAAGGGTACAATTTGGTGCCAGGATGTATGCTCAACCAACAGGTTCAGATGCGCCGCATTTGTCGCAATGCGCCATATTTGTCACAAGGCGCCATTTCCGACAAAATCGAGTAAGGGCAATGGAATGGCACGAATTATTTTGTGACCTGACATGACCCAGCGGTGTTGGTAGGGGTAGGGGTAGGGGTAGTGGTAGGGGTAGTGGTAGGGGTAGGGGTAGGGGTAGTGGTAGGAGTAGTAGTAGGGGTAGGGGTAGTGGTAGGGGTAGGAGTATGGGTAGTAGTAGTGGTAGGGGTAGATGTAGTGGTAGGGGTAGGGGTAGTGGTAGGGGTAGTGGTAGGGGTAGGGGTAGGGGTAGGGGTAGGGGTAGTGGTAGGGTAGGGGTAGTGGTAGGGGTAGTGGTAGGGGTAGGGGTAGTGGTGGAGACAAAAGCAGAACAGTGGCCCGGGCTGATCCCAGCGGACTAGAGGTGACCTATGTGACCTGGCCTGACCCAAAGTGACCGGGGCTGACCCCTTTGACCCGTCTTGACCCCGTATCACCCAAATTTCATCCAACAACGCCCTCAGAACAGTTCTTTTTTTAATTCTCTTCACATTTCCGTCCATATCTATGCTTCTAGACGACACATCGACATGAATCAAACACCATTCGAAAGCAAATTGGCTGGTGCCGCAATTTTTCCTACCACGCAGCAAAGCAAGTGGCGCAGCCGCTTGTCTATCTTACTATTTGAACAGGATCCATCTGTCTGTCTGTCTGTCCGCACTTGGTCTCCCCAATATATTGCAGTTCGCACCGTCTTCAATATATCCAGGCGCATCATCCTGGATGGGTAGTGGGTTCAATTCCACTCGCCTACAGGGCAGACGGTATATCGTAGGGGGTTGAAATTTGCACACCTTATAGGTGACAGACCGGGTCAGCGCCTTTTCTAGGTTCCGACTCGCTGGGGTGCACGGTTCGCGCGTGGGGCGCGCTGGAAGAACGCCAATGAAATTTTGATCGGTTCGTAGATCTTCATTGAGAGCCGGGGTCGACAAACTTTGGGGACTAAATGCATGCCGATCGGCGGCGAGTACCTCGCATTGGCGGATGGGCAAGTTTTAATTTGAATAAATAGTGGCGAGAGATTGTGTAGATTTTCGTTGAATGGCAACAGTTTGTGATACGAGTTTACAAATGCACCGCGTTTGCCGCAATGCGCCACAATTATCTCAGGGCGTCATTTTCGCCGCAACTCGCACAGTTTTGTCAAATATAGTCCGATATGGGTGTAATTTGGTGTCAAGATGCATGCTCAAACAACAGGTACAGATGCGCCGCATTTGCCGCAATGCGCCACATTTGCCACAAAGCGCCATTTCCGACAAAATCGAGTAAGGGCAATGGAATGGCACGAATTATTCTGTGACCTGACATGACCCAGCGGTGTTGGTAGGAGTAGGGGTAGGGGTAGTGGTTGGGGTAGTGGTAGGGGTAGTGTAGTGGTAAGGGTAGTGGTAGGGGTAGTGGTAGGGGTAGTGGTAGGGGTAGTGGTAGGGGTAGTGGTATGGGTAGTAGTAGTGGTAGGGGTAGATGTAGTGGTAGGGGTAGGGGTAGTGGTGGGGGTAGGGGTAGTGGTAAGGGTAGTGATAGGGGTAGTGGTAGGGGTAGTGGTAGGGGTAGTGGTAGGGATATGGGTAGTGGTAGGGGTAGGAGTAGTGGTGGAGGCAAAAGCAGAACAGTGGCCCGGGCTGATCCCAGCGGACGAGAGGTGACCTATGTGACCTGGCCTGACCCAAAGTGACCGGAGCTGACCCCTTTGACCCGTATTGACCCCGTATCACCCAAATTTCATCCAACAACGCCCTCAGAACAGTTTTTTAAAATTCTCTTCGCATTTCCGTCCATATCTATGCTTCTAGACAACACATCGACATGAATCAAACACCATTCGAAAGCAAATTGGCTGGTGCCGCAATTTTTTCCTACCACGCAGCAAAGCAAGTGGCGCAGCCGCTTGTCTATATTACTATTTGAGGAGGGCGTAGTTTCTGTCTATTACGAAGGTCGCGACATGGTGCTACGTAGCGCGGGTTACAGGTCACACCGTTGCACCTACCGCGCTGAAGTTTGCGCAAGTTATAGAACAAGGATGGACAACGTGCCTTTGAGCGGTCTCGGCTCGATCGGATCGATAGCGAGCGCGTGGCGCGTGCCCAAAAAGTGCAAATTCGCGTCATAGACTTTACATGTATAAATCGGCCTGCAAAATCGGGCGAAAATGGCCAAATTTGGCCGACACGGGTCCGGTTCCCGTGCAATATCTCGGTAACCGTGCGCCCGATCGTCACGGGGAAAACAGCACCGTGTAGAGAATCGAACGGGCTATCGCATGGTGTGCGGTGCAGGGGATGGCACGCGCCACGTGCACCAGTGAGGGCGCTTTTGTTTAAAAAATTGACGTTTCGGACGGATTTTGGATTTTATTTTATTTTCACGTGACCGTCAGAATGACTGAGTCAAAACAACGCCTATTCGCAGGAGAAATGTACCGCCTCTCATGATAAAATTGTGAAAAGCTAATTGATCAAAAACAAGGTGGAACAAATCGCTGGAGAAAATGGTATTTGTCCATAATGTGCCACTTAATAATGACACGGGGTTTGCTGCTAAGCCTGATACGGTTGACAATTGAAAATGCTATCATTAGAAACAGCTTTCAATTCTCTCCAAGATCCAATCATCACGTTTGCATGACAAGCAACGGTATTCTTAAAAATATAAATGTTTCAAACCTCTGCTAATCCATTTTTAGCGAAAATTATCTACGCCTTTAATTTGTCATAAAACTACGCGCCTAAATTATAAAGCACATTTGACAGATTCTGAAGTGGAAAGCATGCTTATCAGACACGGGCACCTCGATGCGGTGGATATTCTTTCCAAACCAAATCGCTTAGCCGTCGAAAAGCAATCGACCGAAATGGATAGATAACCCAACCGACACAAGAACAACCGAACACCCGCCGATCGAAAATATCCCTTTTCGCGTTGCGGAGCACGCGGGTCACCCTAGTCTCATCTAAACAGTTACAACAATATCATCCACACAGATACCGTTTTCCATAGAACGTGCAGTTTTGTCAAACATCTGCCATGAAACAGAGTATTGCCAGAGTTTTGTCAGATCTTTTCCAAGAAACGGAAGCCGATGGAGCTACTGGTTCTCCACACAAAGTTACAACAATGTCAACCTCGCGGTGATGTGTATCCGTCTTTCTCTCAGCCCTGTCATTCACCTATTCCGTAGAGGCGGCAGCCGCAGCTGCCTCTACCGTAGCAGGCGGACCACCTTTACAAAATCCTTCCGACAAATCACATGTGCCTCCGCATTGCTGCACATCTGTACATATATCGCCCTCAGTCAAACTTCCTCGCACACACAGCATGGAAGTGGCATCACATACATTGCTACGGCACAGAGCATTTGAGGGCGTAGATTCTGCCGTGGAGCAGTCGTCGCCGATGCCGAGAAGAGGTTCCGCGCACTGTCCACCAGCACAGCGTCCCGAGAAACACTCGATGGCCGCGAAGCATTGTTCGCCGATGCCGAGCAACGTGTCAACGTCTACCGTTCCTCCGTCACCGCCGTCGCCTCCTCCATCACCGTCCCCTACGCAGAGGCCGTCGAGGCAGCTGAAGCCCAATAGACAATCGCTGTTTAGCTGGCAAATGGCGCCTTCACCGCCCGTTTCACTACAGATGCCACTGATGCAGACTAAGCCCATCAGGCAATCGTTGTTAAACTGGCAAAATCTGCCATCACTGTCTGCTGTGCGGGGTGGACCACAGATGCCATCGAGGCAGACTAAGCCCAACTGACATTCTCTGTTACCCCGACAAAAGTCACCATCACCGCCCAGTTGACTACAGATGCCCTGGGAGCAGACGAAGCCTAACAGGCAATCTTCGTTGGACTGGCACCTGCTGCCACCGCCCCCGGTTCCTGGCGGACTGCACGTTCCCTTAAAGCAGTTTCCGCTCAAACAATTGTTATTGGAACGACATCTGTCGCCGTCCTGTGCGGGTGGTCGACGACAGGTACCCCTGCGGCAGTTCCTACTGAGGCAGTCGTTATCCGCTCGGCACCTGTCCCCGTTCTGGGCAAGCGGTCGGCGGCAGTGGTTGTCGAGACAGATGTTGGTGAGACACTGGAGGTTTGAGGTGCATTGAGCGCCCAGAGGTAGCCTCGTCATGCACTCGTTGCCGATGAGCGTGTGGACGCAGATTTGAGATTTCCCGCAGCCGAGGGAGTCGAGGGGTGTGGGGCAGAGGTCTTCGTAGCAGCGTCCCGCGCGGCAGGAGTCGGAGAGACAGGAGCGGTCTGAGCTGCAGGAGGCGCCGCGGGCCAGTAGGGGGACGCAGAGGTTTCCGTGCTGGCCCTGCTGGCAGATGTGGCCGTCGGGACAGCCGTCTCTTGAGAGTAGGGTCTTGCAGGTGTCTCGACTGCATCGACGTCCGTCGCAGCGGTACGACTGGCACTGTGCGTCGCTGGAGCAGGCCTCACCGTCAGGGCGACGGTCGATACAGATGTTGCCGCGCTGGCTGGACGAGCAGAACTGGCCCTCCGGGCAATCCTGGTCCGAGTCCAGCTGCGGGCACGCGTCCAGTTTACAGACGTGTCCGCGGCACACGTGGTGCAGACATTGGACGCCACTCCAACAGGGCGCATCCACGTCCAGCAGGGCAGTACAGCGGCCCTCCTGGCCGCAGTAGCTTCCGCTTGGGCAGCCTCCAGGCGACATCTTCGGTCTGCATGAGTCATCTCTAGGCCGACAGACACGTCCAGACCTCGTCTGGACGCACTCCTGGCCGGCCGGGCAGCCCGAGTTGAAGCCTTCCCCAAGACACTCGTCGTGCACGCAGCGGCTTTCCCGGCACTTGCCCGAGAGACATTCGAACTCGCTGCTGCACCGGGATCCGGTCGGCTTCAGTGGCACGCACCGGTAGTCTGCGGTGCACACTTGATCGTACGGACAGCCACCCTGAACGTACGGCGTCTGACACTCTCCAGGCTGAACCACAGGCGGTACTGGGTACGTTGGCTGCGATGGGTATTTTGGCTGCGGTGGTGGATAGGTTGGCTGCGGTGGCGGGTACGTTGGCTGGGGTGGTGGGTACGTTGGCTGCGGAGGCGGGTACGTTGGCTGGGGTGGTTCTGGATATGGTTGCGGCGCTGGTTTTGCTGGATATGTTGCCGGTGGGTCGTTGTATGTCGGTTGTTGTTGGTAGACTGGCTGTACTATTTTCTCATGATATGTTGGCTGTTGTTGTACCTGATAGGTCGGTTGTTGATAAGCTGGTACTGCTTGAACTGCCTGAACTGGTTGTACTTGCTGATAGGTCGGTTGTACCACTGCTTGAACTGGTTGTACTTGCTGATAAGTCGGTTGTACCACGGCCTGAACTGGTTGTACTTGCTGATAGGACGGTTGCACCACTGCCTGAACTGGTTGAACTTGCACTTGCGGCTGCACTTGCACTTGCTTAACTGGTTGAACTTTTTGAACACGCTGCACGGACTGCACCACCTTGGGGACTTTCTTGGCCTTTTGGACTTTCTGTACATACACGACCTTGGGTGCTGAAGGTACCTGTACCTGATGGGTGACCGTCACAGGGGGGTCCTTGAGACCCACCAAATCGGCGACTTGTCCAAAGAACACTCTCTCTTCACGCTTGCTTTCCGGAGACGCCTTGCTGCTTTCTAAATCTGCTGCGTGGGATGTTGAGACCAAGGCAGAAGCCAGGAGGAGACATGTGGTCAGAGCTGCCTTCAGCCTCATCCTGAGGTCGAGATGGTGAACCAAGATTGACCGCCTCGAGGGCTCTCACGGCTCTCCTCTCACAGGAGGCGTCTTGACTGCGAGGTGTCTCTCACCGCCCTTCTTTCTTCAATTTCTGTTATATCTATCCGGCTGCTTCACTTATTATCTATCCAGATTCCCTACCTTCCCTTATCCATCGTGCTAGAAGGACGAGGACTTGCGTAGAAGCTGTCTGTGATCAAACTGAAGCCGACTTTGCGTCAAGCTTCCCTTTATAGCCAATTAGGTGACTTTGTTGATCTTCAGTAACCTGTCCCAACCCTCTAAAGCTTGCCGCGGACCCCCGTAACTAGTTAGAACCGGTTTTATGTGGCGGGTAAACGATTCGACCTGTTCGAAAAGCAGCGTCGACGGAGCGGACGATGACATTACAGATAGTGGAGATCAGTGCATTTTGCAGAGACACTAATATCGGGTGGGTAGGTGTGCAAAGCAGATAGATTATTAGGATGATAGCTGTTTTGTTCCTCTGAGTGAAGCTCGTCTTAGACTGACACGGGCTGGTTTTGTAATTGGCCGTTGTCTATTATATAAGACTGTATGGAGTATTGTATTATAATTCGCTGTTGTCTCTTATATAATACTTGAGGTATGGAGTATTGTATCCGGCAAGATGAAATATTCGTTTAGCTTAATTAAATTTTGTATACTTTTTAGAACCTCAGCAACCTCTCTGCACCATTGCATAAAATAAACATGCACTTGGCAAGAGCTTTCCGGATTCCGGAGCTTTCCGGAGCTTTCCGGAGATGTAATCTAATTTTTACCTCATTGTCAAGTGTGGCAGCTATCTAGGAGAACCCTTACTTTGGTCATGTTCCATAAAACTGCATTACAGCCACCAATGACGTCACGACAACCCTTGCTTGGGCCTAATGAGCATACCGCCTACATAGGGCCTTGGCACTTGGCGAAACCCGAAACAGAGCTGCATTGTGACAGGGACACGGTGCTATCACATACCTATGTGATTCCCTGTCGCGCATCAAATGATAATTACAAAACAGTAATTGGCCTACCTTACGGTATGAGCCGCTCAACGAGCTTTACGGAGAAACCAGTCGGATGCTATTATGGGGACTTTTGGAAGTTGTGCCAGTCGGCGGCAAGACCACAACACCAAACAAGCAGACAAATAAACTTTCCCGTCAATCTGTGTTGAAGCGAGAGCCGGCGACTTCGCCGGCTCGACCCATCACTACGTGATGGGTCGTTTGTGAGTGAGATACCTGTCGTGTCGTTTAGTTCGTTTTTTGTTTTTGTTTTTTCAAAACCGGTTTGGCTCCAAGTTCATCATCGAAGCTCTCAGGTGAGGTTTGGCAGCTTCAGCGTCTGGCCAAGAATATCTTACCGCTAAGGTATTAAAGTTCAAATTGTGCGCAGCAAATACCTCGAAAATGTGTGTTAAAATGAACATACTATATATGATGAAGTTCCTCGTGGCATCTGGCACCCAATGTCTGTATGGTGGCACAAAGTGTCGACGAATTTTAGGAACACTTCGTTTTTCACTTTTACTCCAGGTCAGAATCGAGAAAGCGGTTCTGTCCATGGTAGTTATGCACTACATTGCAATGCAAGTTCCACAGCATGACATTACCAGTGTTCTAATAAAAAATATTTAGTTCTAAAACGCACGTATGGGATTTATCCGGGATATGTCGCATATTTAAATAAGGGGACATTCGATTTTATAGTTTCAGTTTGCCCTTTTTGCTGGCTGAAACACGTCTTATTAAATCGAAAAGCGTCCTTGGAGCCAAACCGGTCGAACTGTAGCATGTCATCCAACCGCGCGTATGCCAAGTGGTAAGTCAAAACGCTGGAAGTATTTGTGACATAACACCAGTGTTCGCCATGGGCCGGGCCAGCCCAAATCCCTCGCCCTGGCAGGGGGGTGGGGTCGATGCGACCCCCCTACGGTTTTTCGAAAGTAGCTTGAAAACGTTGGCAGCCTTTTTACATATGACCTGAAAATTTCAGGTCCGGATGACCTTGGGTCAGGTCACCAGGTCAGAAAAACCGGTACAAGGTCATGGTAAAATATCAATTTTCTTTTTGCACCTGTCCAACTCACAGTTTTGGACTGATTTCCTTCAAACTTTCAGGATGTGCTAAGTGCACCAAGTTGTATAACATACAGTTCAGGTTTTTTGATGTCATTGACCTAAGGTCAGTTAGAGGTCATTACGTCTTAATGTTAAGCCTAAAGTAGGTTTTGTGGTATGATATTTTTTTCTGTTATTTGTGAGGGAATACAATTTTTCGTTTAAACTCTAAACCTATAATAAACGACCGTAAATGTTGAAGATCCAGTAAAAGTGCAGATCACAAGCAAATTCTTCTGTGAGCTGCATTTTAATCCTTTTGTATACCTAGTAGGTACACATTTGCGCGAGTCAGTTATCTACCTACACACAAGTATAACGCCCTTTGGGGCGACTAACGGAGCGAGCGAGAGGGTGGGCCTTGCACGTGCGAAGTTTCGAGGGGTACCTCCAACTGACTTGTGCATGGCACCTTACTAACCGGTCTCTAGCGATGTGCCAAATTTGAGCACAATCGGCCCAGCCGTTCTCGAGATCAGTGTTCGCCACGGGCCCCAAAATCCCCAGCCCAGCCCGGCCCGGGCCCATGGGTTCAGAGCCCGGCCCAGCCCGTAGCCCGCTCTTGGCAAATATGTCCAAGCCCAGCCCGGCCCGGCCCGTCAAAAATAGCAATCTAGTTATTGTCTTAGTCTACATATTGCTATAATAAGCATGATTGATTACACTATTTTGAGAACAATTCAAATTGCATGAATATTAACATGGCAATCATGACTCCCTTCTTTTCAATAAATATAATCATTTCAAGTACCTATGGCACAAATTTTAACAGTAACAGCAAGCACCTCAGTCAATTAGGTCATGATTACACACCTATAAAAAGTTTACATGATTATATTAACTACATTCTATGAGTAAAGTTATCTTGCAAGCTGATGTGTGTGAACATTATCATGCATAATTGGTGACTCTAATGCATACTTCAAGGAAGTATTTGCAACTTACTCTATACTTCCCAGCACTTACCAGCAGAAAAAGGCTTGACTTATGGGAATTGATGAATCTGTCTGGGATTGACCTTGCTGTTAAATTCACTCCATTGATGCTGCAATATCAAAAGCCTGAGAAAGCATACAAAATAGGTGACACTAGCTTTAGCACTGTCTTCCAAAAAAGAGAAAATCCATCCATTTATCAGCAAAACTGATTTAATCTATTTTCAATTCATGCCCACGTGTCAACCGAATCTCTGTGGACAACTATCTGCTGCTTTCCTTGCTATTTTATGCTAGGCTCTTTTCAAGATATGGATATCGCTAGCAGCGTAAGCAGAAAACATGGTAAGCTTGAAATGTCATTGGGTACTTTTGCGACTTTTACGCATCATCATCATCAATTGAAAATGAGCGAACACTTCTTGATTGTCGCAGCTGCGGCAGATAGCGATTCTGAACAATTGTATAATAAAACATATATGATCACATTTTTATTTTGTTGTTCGTTCGAGTTTTCAGACTTCGTGATTTCAGTTTTATTTTTTATTTGTTTTATTTTGCTTTTCACCTTGATACTTACTTAAAAAACGTATTTATTTGATATACTGTTGTGTATACTACCTAGATGCCGCCACATAAACATAGCGCCATGATCGCAAATTTTGTTGAGAAGGGGCTGGTTTGTTGTTGTTGTGATTTATTTTGACAAATTTATGGACATTTAAAGAAGCTTTCATCGCGAAATAATCTGTAGAATTCCTCGTTACTTACAGTGTGTTTCGTGAGTATCCTTTTAAGGTTCTGTTCGTTAAAAAGCCGTCGATGAAGGAAAAAAGACTGTGTTGGAATTGTCTCACTATCGCCATACATACCTAAGTGTTAAACTTAATGTAGCCCTGTAGCCGATCATTGTTGAGTGGCTTCTTAGTTTTTGGAGTTGAAGTGCTAAGTAAGTTATTCTGATAACAACATTTTAACTTTTATTAACAAACTAATGATGCTAGAGAATCTCTGATCTTTTTGGTTGCGGATTTTTTATGAAAACCCTCCTATGTGTGACATGATGTGATATTGGATGATTCTCAAGATTCCCAAAATTCAATATCAAGTAGGTTTTCTTTCACATTGCTTAAATTTGGTTTAGTTTTAGTATTTTCCCAGTGGGTTTTGTTTGCATCAGTTTCCAAATTTTCTTAAATTGACATTAGTTGCAAAACCCATAGTCCACAAAGCTCTTGGCCCGGCCCGTCCATAGCCCGTTGACTAATGATATTTGGGGGCCCGGCCCAGCCCGTAGCCCAGCCCAGCCCATGGCCCGTTGGGCTGGCCCGGCCCGTGGCGAACACTGCTCGAGATCTGGAAGCGGCACCCTACACGTGCGCACGTGCAAAATGGGTCCCAACTGACTTGTGCACGGCACACCTCTAACTGGTCCCTAACCGTGTATCAAATTTGATCGCCATCGGTCCAGCCGTTCTCGAGATCTGGAAACGACCCCTGCACGTGCGCACGTGCAGCAGCACCCCAACTCTGGCACATGGATATGCAGTACCTAGTGGGTGCCTACCTACATGCCAACTTTCAGCGTAATCGCTCAAGTAGTTACCGAGATATTGCAACAATTACAAAACTGACACCTCCTCGTTTTGCACGCGGCACGTGCATAAGGGATCACCCACATGCATCGGCAATAGTCCAGTACTTGGTAGAAGGAATGAAGCTACCCTACAAAAATTACACGTGTAAATCGGTCAAGTGGTTGCTGAGATATCCCGCGCCGTGGGGTCTGTTTATAACGCGACCTGGGGGGGGGGGCTATTTTGCCCCCTCGTATCTCCGAAACTACTGGACGGATCCGCAAAATGCAAACGGCGTTCGATAACCCTGTCAAATTTGTCGAAGGAAACCAAATTTCATTGACCTCGGCGTCACCGATGACGTCACAGGTCAGGTCAAAGATGAAATGTTTCACCGTTCACGGGTCTTCTAGGGAATGCGCTATAACACCGAAGAAAACGCATTTTGTCAAGAATCAGCGATAAGGCGTCAGTTGCCTAATACATATGTTGCTAAAAGAGGTCACTGATAATACCAGGTCAGGTCACAGGTCAGGTCACCAAGGGTCACAGGTCAGGTC